TTTTACTAAGCGTGTTGGCCGTACTCTTCGTACACATGAAAACCGGCACCCAAGACCAGAAATGCCGACTCTTAGTATAAGCTCAGTAGTTTTAGGATTTAGCCTTGTTTATATATTCTTAAAGTTGCCCAACCGACTAGACAAAATGTGCTGCCAACTGGAGGACAAATCGTGAACCTTTCGGGGCGGAGTCAAAAATATCGATTATTTTCGTTAGTAATCTAGTAAGCCTTGAATCTCTTCGAAAAATCCGAAAGGCGCATATTTATGACTCCACAAAACTGCAATTTTTTCCCCATTTAACCGACTCTCTATTTCCAGTAGTTTCCGAGATACCCATAGAGAACATCGTAGAAATATAAATAAAACACCCTGTATAGTATTTAGAAACTAACTATTATTATTATTTGACTAGATTAATTTGATTAATAAAACTCGATTAATTTAATTTAAAATAAATTTGATCAGATTTTTTTTTCGTATATTCTACTACCAGAAAATCAAAATTATATGATAACGCACTTTTCAACGAAGTTGAAGGAAGATATAGTGTATCTATCACAATACTTAATAGAATTACTACAATTAGAAGAAAAACAAAAAGAAAAAATAGCCAAATACCTTCACCTACTACTCATCTACAAAATAAACTAATATAATCTCTTATAAAAACACTACACAACTACTTCTTCACTACTTCGACCACTTCTACACTGAAAAAAGAATAAAAGTCAACGTTTAATTCAGTACAATACGATATACTGAAAGAGAAAAAGACTATAAATACGGGAGAAAAAATGATAAGTTTATTACCTATCCACTTAATCCGGATCATCGACAATAGAATTTGTGATATTTACAACATTATGTAATTAATTGATTATCGGTCCCATTATGTAACTGAGGACGTAATGTAACTAAGTAATAGAGCATATTTTTTGGTTAGTTTATTTAATGAAGCGTACACACGGCTTTGGCTGCTGATTCTCGTGTGTCAACGTGTTCAGTACAATACGATATATTGAGAGAGATGCTGATGCTCTATTACGTAGACACGTACATCCCTAGTTGCATAATAAGACAGATAATCTATTAATTACAAAACGTACTAAAAGTGCAAATTCTGTTGTCGAACGCTGTAATCAGTATAAGATTATGTATTAAATAATTATGGAGGTGCATATGAAACATTAAACAATTCATCATTGTGTTAAGTTATACCACGTAATTTAACAAAAAGATCAATCATTTAATATCTCACTTCACACTGTCTCACTCCATTATTATTTAATACTGATTAGAATGGTCGACAATAGAATTTGCACTATTTACTACGTAATACAGCATATTTTTTGGATAATGTACACACGGCTTTGGGTGCCGATTGTAGTGCACAGAGTCTATAGACTCTGTGATTGTATAAATGAACAAAGAGAAAAGAGCAAGAATTTTCCCAAGCGTATGAAGTTGAGCTCCGGATTAAGTGGATAGATAATAATTTTCTCTCCCCGACTTACAAGATTGCCATAGCGATTCACTTCTAGACATGTAGGTAAATGATGACTAAAATAAACGACCCAAGATTTTCTCTTGCCGACCAGTATATTATCGTAGTCTTAAAGAAATTAGAATAAAATAAACTATGTTAAAAATCTTCATGTATACTACAGAAATGAAGATAATATATCTAAGCTAAATGTAATCTATTACAATTGTAGTAAAATGAGTAACTAATTGTCGAAAATCCAGATCCAACCCTAGATGCGACATTTTTTTGAAACGTCTACTTATGCGGTTTGAAATTTTGATGCAAAATCTGGCAATACCGCTCAGAAGAAATGTACCCACCCATACCCACCCAACTTTTTTCTCTTTTTAATACATTTGATTGCCATTAAGCTGCATACATCACTGTCTTACACGTTAAAATCCTATACACAGAGTTGACCTGTCCTGATGTGTATATATATATATATATATATAAACTTTGGTACGACCGATGTCGGAGATGAAGATCTAACATCTGTAAACCGTCTCAGATACTGGCTTTTGCCAAAACCCTGAGACTGTATGATGAGTTATAAATCAAGAGAGGGGGACACAATATAAGGTCTCGATGATTAACTTTCCATAAAATCTACCTATAACATATTTCTTTTTTTAACAATCTGTGGGTATTTTGGACTTTTTCTGGATATTTTTATCTGTATATTTGTCCGTTAGACTAATGGAAGTCGATATTAATATTTCTAGTTCACACCGATATGTGACGATAAACATGATCCGGCTTTATAATATCGTTTGGAAACGTCAAAACACACTATCCAGGCGGTGTTTAACATCGCCAGGAGAAATGTCAACAACGAAAGATTCGGATTTTTAAATAAATGCATCTGTTTATAAAAAGGTTTCTAATTCAAAGCGTCGCGTCCTCGGCGGTGTTTCGACACAGACGAAATGAAATTCTGTTGAAATATTAGTGCGTGAATTTGTATACATGTGAAATGGTTAATGGACGTGGTGATTTGCGATGAGAAGGAAAAATTAATAATGATTTTTATAAATAATCGATTTGATAACAAAATAAATCAATTGTTTCATAAATTAAGCTTCTGGGCTGTTATACATAATGTGCCATATATATTTTAGAATTTTATGACTAGCATTTATTTTACTTAATCTACACGAATCCACAGTTAACGCCAATTAATAAACTGGTCGTATAAAAGATAACTACAGTCCCCTACTATGGTCCTCACAATAGGAATTGACCTCAAATCCAAGGAGGCAATAGAGAAAGAGAGTCGTTTTTGATTTGAAGAAATAATGAAAAGAAAAACTTTGAATAGCATCGTGTGTGTTGATTCGCAGAAGTTCATTATGGAGGCAACAGAACCAAGAAACTGAAAAACTTTAAAATACATTCTCTAAACCCGTCCAAGGTTCTCCAACATTTTACCAACATATTATATTAGTTTGGTGACCATACACATACACTTGTATAGTCTAATCTAGATCTAAAAAATCATATACAGTAATTTGAAAACCTCTCTACGGAAAAAGCATTTACCCTTTCTAGTTTTTTTTCTTTTACGCCAGAATGAACTGGAATTGATTACCTTATTTTCAATCTAATAATAGCTCCCGTATATAGCGTTTAACGCTTTGAAGGTAGCAAGGTACAGCTTGCCATACTAGAGCCGTTCGGTATACAAGGAAGGTAATGTGGCTAGCACTACACTACTTCAACCGCCTATTATTACCTCAGAATTGTGAATCCCAAGTACTCATTTAAGGCTGAGTCGACCAAGGTACCCAAACTATTTTTATTTTAATAAAAATAGTCGGCTGATGAAATGCCGGGTGTGAGATTCTAACCCACTACCTTGAGATTGGTAGACGAGAGCCTGTACCTCTACGCCACCGGGCACCTTCATTTTCAATAATTTTACTCGTTTTATCGATTCCTTAATAAATAATTAATAATATTTGTTTATTCAAGTATTGCATAAGATAATTCAAGCTAAAAAAAGAAGAGTCTTTTAGTTATTAACAACAGATTTTTTTTATCAAAGTATTCTTGAGGCATAATGAAACAGAGCTCGTTAAAATGCAAATTGACTAAAACAATAAATACAGTAAATTTAAAGCCACTTCAGGTAACTCTCTACGGTAACATAAACTACGGGTTGTTTTGAACTGAAAGAAGATACAATAATAACATAGGGGATTTAGGGTTTTAAGCTATTTTCATTTTTTTGCTCTCCATGTAATAAGAAACTCTTATAAAACCTAATTTAAATCTCTTATTTTTTTCCTTCTGTAATTTATTGTATTTTTTAAGTACTGATGTACATTGTTTTTTATTAAACATGAGAAAGACTACATTCTACATTTTTGACCACATTTTTGTGTAATATAATGAACATTTTCAGATGGATTGTTTAAAACTATAATAATAAGAATTAGAAGATTCGACTGAGTTAGATAGTATCATCAATTTGTCCAAAGATTTTTAAGACTATAGTTCCTCATAAATCGGGACATACTTTCTTTATACACTCCTTGGTATTAGGAAAATGAATGCTAACAAAGAGGAGATCTAAAAAACTAAACCACCTCAACAGTTACAATAAGAATTTGAAAGAAGCATAGAGGATAATGTACAATAATAAGCCCCCAATAATTCATGATGAAGACCTGATTAGCAATCTATTTAGTATCTGCAAATAAAACAGATAAAAAAACACTTGTTCTAGATAATTGTTCCTCTATGGGTGTGCTTGTTCTAACCAATTTGAATGCTACTTGTTGTTAAAAAGACACCTATATGAAATAAGATTCTCTTTCAGCAACAGAACACCACATACCGGAGTGTGCCGAGACGACAACCATTCGTAAAAAACTTTGGTACGACTGATATTGGAGATAGAGAACTACCCTCTGTAAAACCGTTCCAGATACTGGCTTTTTTCACAAAGCCCTGGAACTGTATGATGATTACTCAAGAAAGAGGGACACAATAGATCTGTAAGGTCGCGATGATTAACCTTCCTCCCACTTATTCTACATCCTACAAATACACTTTTGCAGACTACACAGCAGAGATCTAGCAACGTCAAATTCTGTCTATTCTCTGTCTCTATAGAGCATTTGCCTCTAGAATTTGGGAAATGCACGGAGAATCTATGCTAGCTTCTGCAATTGAAGACAATTTTAGTTTGACCTTTATTATTATGTCAAGAATTAAAAGAAAATAAATCTCCAGATGCATTCCTTAGTAAACTTAATAAATTTGTATCCTTGACAACAGCTAAGTATCGTTTGTGCTTCAGGGCTAATTAACCATTTGATAGACGGTTCATTGAAATTATTCTTACTCATATTGAGGTAGTTCTGTGTTATTTAATGGGAAACTAGGATATATTAGTTGAAAAATAGTTGTGTGATGGCACGTACACATCTAAAATGGTATATCATATTTCACTGAAAAGAAATACCTGCTGATATAATCCTACGGGTATTCTGCTGCTTGTACCTCATTTTCAGCTAACACTAAATCACAGAATTTCACCAAAAACAATATCTTTATATCCACAACGTAAAAAATTCTTCTTCGTGACGTCTATAACACGGATAAGATTGTTTTGAAACTATCTAATTATTTACGATCAGAATGTTAATTGAGAAAACATAAACAACAAATTCAATGCACACTTTTTTTCATTCACGATCACAAACGTTACATCGGAAGCGTTCACGCAATATCTTCAGGTCAACAATACGAAAGAAACTGAAAGCACCACGCGCTATCTTCTTCGGCAAAGCGACAACACTACACTGTAGAACACTGATAAATAAATAAAATCATTTCTTTAAAATCTGTCTTATCGGCACCAAGTTTAATTAATGTTTTTTGAGATACTACTATTTCTAACCTATTTCGTTTACGGGACGTTGCGCGTTTCATCTCGAAGATAGACTGGTTCAGTTAATCATAAATAATTAAAATTATTTACGAATTCGACTTCGCAATCGAGGAGCCGTGTGTGCTACTTTTTCTTTTTCGAATTTGATAAGAGCACGCGAGAATTTTTCGGTAAGAAATTATGTTTTGCATTTCCGTTTATACAGTACGACGAAACATAAATTGAACTTGTTATTGTTGTTGAAATGAAATGTCGTTTTGGTACAGAACGCTGGCCTATCCTCAACTTATGTTCTATACACATAATTTAATTTCTTTAAGTTACATAATTTCATCCATGAATACTCAAGAGATAGCAGTCTACACAGATGCTTCCGTAACTTCAGGAGACACAGGTATAGGCATCTTTTCGGAGGAACTAGATATCCGACGATCTTTAAAGCTATCGGATGGTTGTAATGTTCTACAAGCTAAGGTTTACGCTGTAAAGGATGCGGTCAAAATCGCTGATAGACCAATAGTGATATTCCCTGACAGCTTGAGCGCTTTAAGAGGCATCACAATGCAGTCAGTGAGATTGAAAACTATGATGCACTGCCAAGAAGCACTATCCTGGCTGTGTCAAGGCGGGACTACTCTGTGCTGGGTGCCAGGCCACAGCAATGTAGTAGGCAATCAAGAAGCAGACAGACTCGCCAAAGAGGGGACCAGGAAAGAAGCCGAGGCAGATGACCCACCAGATCGTGACGATCAACACACTGAAGAAAGCTATAGGAACTACTATCAAGGCCAAGCAGCAAGAGACCGTGAGGATTGCGCTACAGCTCGAAGACTGTGACCAGTGGTAGTTAGCAAATAGACTTCCCCTAGGAGATGCAAGACCTTGTCGTTGGTGGGGAAGCTCCTGGTCAGGCGCTGGGGGGAATCCCCCCTAGCACTTGGCTTGGTCTAAGAAGCATCTCACTCATCGTCTTGTCCCTGACTCTAGTGTCGTGGCCAGGGAATTGCACCAAGATATATAACGATACCGGGCGGGGCTACGGACAGCCTCAACCTTGGGGCACCGGGGGGCACCCCATTGTATTTTACCCCTTACTTCTACATGCGGGACTCTGTAGAAGTGGATCGACTGTCCCTAGCGACTCAGGAACACTATGAGATCTGGTAATAATAGTAATAAAAACATCACCGGTGAAGCTGTGGGGAAACCCCCTAGCGACACTGGGAACAGTAACAATAAAAGTTCCAAGGGGCCAAACCCAAAGAGAACTACAGGAGAGGTGGCTGGGCCATCCTCCGCAAGTGGCATACAAAGCTACCACCTCCTCCAAGGGTCCGGGCCTGCCTCCTACCTCTAAACCCAACAGGCGACACAAGTTACCGTTTCGTCTACCTGGCCTGGGTCGTAGCTCCTCGACTGTGAGGGACACGGGTCTCCGTAGGAAGTCCTGGGACTGTATGATGAGTTATAACTCAAGAAAGCGGGACACAATAGATCTCTAAGGTCGCAGAGATTAACCCCCCTCCCACTTATTCTAAATTCTAGCAAAAAGACAAAAGAAGGAACTAGTACGCATAATGATAGGTGTCTATACCGGCAACTGCCCCATGGGGGTAAACCTCGGGAGACGGAAGATTTCCAAGGACGTATACTGTACAGAATGCGGAGAGGAAGAGGAGTTCTTATGAATATACAAGCAAATAGGACATTCTACCATAATTTAAATTTTTCAGATAATATGAAAAATTTTAATTCGAATAAAACTGTAAACCAAAACATATAAAAAAACTACATGACACTATTGCATATTTACACCATATTTAAATGCGAATTTTTGGGCCTGGGACAATAGCTCTTACTGTATTATATGTTTAAACTTTTTTTGATAAAGCTCATTCTAAATATGCTAAACAAATTCGATATAATTTATTTTATATTTACTTTAGTATTTAATGCAATGGATTTCCTCAACGCAAAGTCCGAAAGATAATTTTGCAGAGGTCATTCATATTAACTCAAAGTATACAAGCAATTTTTATTGCTTAGGCCAAATTTATCGTATGTTTTTATGTATTTTAACATATATCTCTTTTTGTTTAAAAATCAGTCAATCATATACGTATACATATATTATTTTCTTAGTCAACATCTTATATTTTTACATAAATATCATTAATCAGACAAGTTTTTAAAATGTTGAATTAAAATTATTTTGAGGCTTTAACTTCGATTTAGATTATTATTCACTTTAAAAATCTGTCTCTTACCCATGGGTTTTCCTTCAAGAGCTATGCATGGTAGCCTGTTTCCTTCCATGGGTTTTACGTTTGCGAACCATTATCTTTTTCTTTGCCTACTACGTCCACTCCACATTGTCGTTTGATATTTGTGTTTCTAATTCTGTCTCTTCTAGTCTTCCCCATTATGGTCCTTAAGTTCTTCATTTCAGCGACTGTTAACATGCTTTTGGTCTTGTTTGTTTCCCCTCGAATTTCTATGGCATATGTCATTATTGGTCTGATATGGTCTTATAAATTTTAATTTTGCTGTCTGTGCATGAAGGGGTTTGTCCACACTATTTGTCTCAGACATCCTGACATGGCCATTGCTCTGTTTATCTAGCTTCTCAGATCTTTCTCTGGATCATGGTAGTGCGAAATATTATCTATTCGAGGAAGAGAATATAAAAAAAAATAAAAAAAATTCACTTCAAAAATAAAAATAATTCAATTTCCGATAAAGAAAGAGAAACAAAAAGTGTATTATGAACTGTTCAGCGGAATTTAGTTATATTCAAACTTAAGAAATACAGTCATCAAAATTGTTCTAATGTTTTTCATAGTAATAGTAAATACAATGAAATGGTAATGGCTTTTGTTTATAAATTTAGTTATTTGATCATATCAGAAAAGTTTTATTTTCTCACCAGTCATATTCTAGTAAACAACTACAAGAGCTATTCGGGAAAATGTTTATGTTTTACAACACATTCCACATAAAGTAATAAATACATAGTAAAGAAATTTTATTTGTCTTCGAGAAGCACATAAATCATATTGATTCACGTTATTCACAGATAACTGCTTCTTCACGCATACAATAACAGATTATTAGAAACACCTGATTTATTGAAAAATCGTACATTATGTGGATTTTCCCACCTTCAAATTAGTTAGATACAACATAGTAATACATTCGTATTTATTATTTAAAACACATGTCCATAAAACTGTCAAACGCATCTGAAATTATTGCTATGCTTATTTAATCTTGAAGCCAAGCTCTGTCCATCGTAATATTTCTATCCAAGCTCTGTCCATCGTAATATTTCATATTTTATGGAAACTGGACACTGGACACCGAATTCTGAAACTTTGACATAAAAACGTTACGCTTTTAAAGCGGCAAGCAAAAGTATTATATTAGCAGAATGCGAAGGAGTCGATTTTGGTATTTTCGTTGCCGTGCGAATCATAACCTATTGTTGAGTTTATCATAACCTATTGTTGATTAGAGTTGAGTGTTGGAACCTTTGGTGTTACACAGCAAAATAAAAACACTAAATCACCACAATACACCAAAACACTTTTACTTTTACACTGGACGCGCGTTTCGCTAACCATGTTAGCATCATCAGCAGATGATTATAAACTAAAGTACAATCTACAAGTTGAGCGTTTATATACTCGCTCAGTGGGCACCGAGTGGGCGTGGCAAAATCTAGCCAACTGAGTCAGAGCCAACCGAGCGTAACAGTTAGATTTCCGCCACTAGAGTAGTAGGAACAAAGAACTTGAAGGAATTGGACCGTTGACTCTGTTCATACTATCTTTACATTTATTAATTCTGATGCTTTCATACGCATCTAATTGCCTGTAATTTGAGACTTGTTTAATTAATTTTAAATTATTAAGATCTATACAATGTTCATTATCAACAATATGTTCGGCAACGCAAGATTTATCCGGTCTACCATATCAGATTTAATAAATGTAAAGATAGTATGAACAGAGTCAACGGTCCAATTCCTTCAAGTTCTTTGTTCCTACTACTTTAGTGGCGGAAATCTAACTGTTACGCTCAGTGGGCTCTGACTCGGTTGGCTAGATTTTGCCACGCCCACTCGGTGCCCACTGGGCGAGTATATAAACGCTCAACTTGTAGATTGTACTTTAGTTTATAATCATCTGCTGATGATGCTAACATGGTTAGCGAAACGCGCGTCCAGTGTAAAAGTAAAAGTGTTTTGGTGTATTGTGGTGATTTAGTGTTTTTATTTAGCTATTGTTGAGTTATGTTCCTATTTTTCTATGGCCTATATGTAATTATTCCGTTATATCATGCTTCTCAGCATTTTCGATGTTTTGAACAAAATTTATAGCTGCCAAGTCGTAAATTATCAGTTACTTATTGAGAAATTTATAGAAGAAGAAGTAGTTTTCACTAAAGAGCAAGAGAACGCACAAAAACACAATTCTTTCTATTTTTTACTGACAGTTCGACAAGCAAAACACATCCGTTAAGGTAGCCGTTTTCAAATCGCTTAGCGCGATTGGTAAAGACATTAAGCGCGATGAGAATACCCAAGTCGGTAGTTAAATGCGCGCTAAAAGCGCTTGGCGTTTTCTAAGTTACAGAATTCGGGCCCTGATTTCTGCCGTATACAGCGCTACGGTAGGGATTTTTTGAAATCCACTGAAATTCACGAAGAATAATTAAAGAATATATTTTAATAACGCCAAAATTATAATGAAAGAAGCGATAGCCTCTAAAAGAAAAATAAAAGAGGCTACAATCTAATAAAAATAAATGTATTGCACATGCATCTGTAGATGTTAGTAATATAAGGCAATCGCTTCTTTGATTTTAAATAACATAACATAAATAAACATAACATACGTAAAAATTAAAAATAATCATACAGAAAGTTTGGGGCTTTTTGGTTTTACCTTATTATGTAATTGTTATCAGGTAGTAATTGTTAATTTTGAAATTTAACTT